GGTGTGTAAGTCACTTCAAATTTTCGTGAGTTGACAAAATTACTTAAGAAGTATAATAAGAATTACCATTCAGGCGCCGATGTGTGTGTTATAAACTTCTAAAATTGCTTGTATAAAAAAGCATTTTATATATAACGCTGGCGTTAATTTACTTATGCTCGCCATATCTACCAAAAAAATGTTTCAAATTATACATAGTTTTAGAAGGGAGCTCATATAGAGTAGTTGTATATGATTCTAAAAAAAGATTTTTATGAATATTTCTGTACAATTAGTATTGTTGTTGAGTTTATATTATTATATTTTTTAATTAATGTTATAAGATATGCAGATATGTAATTATCTATATAAAATTCTTTCTTTAGGTTACTTACATTATATCATTGGAAAACGATGTCACAGCAGTTTTATTACCTCTTTTTTTTGCATCAGTCAGTATCATGTACATGTTTATAGCTAATAGTACTGGACAAGATATTATAGATCACAATCATTGCATATTTTTTACAACGTAAGAGATTAATACAGTATTATAAAAATGCGTTAACAGATTCTCAGAGTAACAGTAAAGACTAATGTTTCATGTTTAAAATAGACTTGTCAAATGTTATTTATAAAGTTTCTCGTTTTTGTTTTAATTACTGATTCCTTATTTATACAATTATTAGATACAATGTTCCGTGGTACTCAGCTCCTTTGCATATACAGAGAATGATACTATTTCTGTTACAACAAGCAACCAAAGAATTTTATTTGACTGTTGGTGGACTATTTAACGCATCTTTAGAATGTTTCGCTACGGTAAGAAAATATATTAAGTATTAAAATGTATTTAACAATATATATAAACACAATGACAATTTATATTTTTCTCTTTGTAGTTGGTAAAAGCATCGGTATCTTACTTTACTGTCATATATTCTATGCGGTAATGAGAAAAAAGTCGATCAAATAAAACGTAGTTTGAATGAAAAAATATAAATATATCTTGTAGACATATATTTTATTTGTAGACAAAAAAGTTTAATTTTTGCAACATGTATTGTTTCATTCTAAAAAATCATGGCAACAGAATTATTCAATCAAAGAAATAAATGCTTCAAACATCCTTAACGCATCAAAACTAATTATATTTACAAGTATTTTTATATAGAAATAAAATATAGATTTAATTAATATAACATTGTAATGTTTGTAATACACATTATTTTCAAATAATAAATTTATTTTCAACGTTGATATTATCGAATACAGCTATTTTGATTAGTATGTGTAAAGAATTATGAAAATATACTATGCAAAAGAATTTTGATTAGAAAATGTCTTACCTAATCTGTTTTAACAAATAATAATTTGATAATTATTACATACAAGGGAGTCTTTACTTGTATACAGATATGTTATACGGGTTACTGTGTTCTACTGCTTATTATGCTGGATGGTACTAGCGGGTGCGATTGGTGAGTCAGTTTTTCGTTATATTAATTTTCTGTATTTTTAAAACATTTTTTGATTATTTTAAAATAAGTTTTAATATTTCCATGCAATGTAAATCTTTTTCTTCTTTTCTTATATCCTTATAAATTGATAAGCACTAAAATTGATGGCTAAAACATATTTTTTATATTTTTCATATATTAACGTATATAAATAGTTAGTAAATATGATAGTTCTTGCATTCTAAAAACCGCACTTTTAATTTTTGCTGTTTTTTTTATTGCTTTACACAACCATAATATTGTTGTTTTATGTGTACACAATCATAATATTTGTGAATAAAAGAAAGACTAAAACGTAGATGTCTTTTTATTATCAATTAATATAGTATAGAAATGTTTCGATAAAATTTTGGATTGTAAGAATTGTAATCGATAAGATGATCATTTATAATATATTGCAGGGACTTGGCGCAACGTGATTCGACCGATCCTACTAGATTGAGAAAGGTTTGATATTAGGACCGAACGTTTCTACATATATTGTATTAATTGATAATAAAAAATTTTTTTTCAACCTGACATTTGTGCTTTGGTTCTTATAACCTTTATTTTGTTAATTGTTTTATCGTCACAGAATCATACATCACTTATAATATTTATACTTTAGATTTTTCAGATTATATCGTCTGAAAAAGAAAGAATGGACTTTTTAATCACATGGAATTTGTAGCTGTCTGCGTAATATACATGTTCACAGCCAGTTATTGTTTGGGCAAGATCTTATAGATCGTAATAATCATGTATTTGCTACAGCGTAAGAGATTTTTTGTGAACTGCAATTATATAATGCATTGTTTCATAAATTTTTATGTTCGAAAAGAAGGCGAAGGTCTTGAATGTAAAATATAATTGATGAAAATTATTTGTAAATCTACTAGTGTTTGTCAAACCACAGATGTATTATCCGTACAATATTGTAGGTATAATGTTCGATGGCATGTAACTCCGTTATATGTACAGAAAATGATACTCTTTTTATTGCAAAGAAGCACCAAAGATTTTACTTTCGGAGTCGGTGGGCTATTTATCGGGTCGTTAGAATACTTCGCCACGGTAAAAAATATTTTTTAATAGTGTATATATACAAGATGATTGTATAAATTGTTTCTAAAAAATATTTATAATTACAGCTGATGGAGGCCTCGATATCTTACTTTACTGTCATATGTTCTACATGCTAATGAAATAAAAATGAATTATATGATAACATAGTGAGATAGAAAACGCATTTCATGTGCAAAAGTAAAAATGTTTATTCTTTAGCATATATTACTGTTATTGTATATGTATTTTACTGTTATTATTATTTTACTGTTATTATTGAATTAAATAAATTAATATGTTAAATTTTTGCCATGGTTTAAAATACCTGAACATTTTCAAATTATTACTTAAATATAAATAATTTTTTAATTTAACTAACTTTGTTTTAAATAAACACAAGACGTAACTTTACTGTTACGTTTTTCATTGCTTATTCGTGATATACAGGATGTTTCAGAATGATCACGACAACACTTGTGAGCGAATAGAGCTCAATAAGCTGAACAGAAAAGTTCTTTAGCGTTTTGCAATTTTCGCAATAAATTATTCCATTATGGAGAAGTTAATTTAAAAAGATTAGCGAATAAACGTTTGAGTGTCGCACGGAAACGAAAAGTTTGGTTGGTCGGCGAAAACAAATAACACGCCAGCAACGAACAGGCAGAAGTTTTACTTTTCGTTGCTGTACGACACTTACCGCTGACCTGTCTAAGCACACGTTTAAAGCATACATCTCACAATCTAGCCAAATGCGAAATGCACGATTCACCAATCCTGTTTAATTGCAAAACAAATTGCAAAACAATAAAGAACTTTTCTGTTCTGTTTATTTTTCTCTACCAGTTCACGAGCATTGTCGTGGTTATTCAGAAATACTCTGTATATTTTAATACATTAGATATTAAAATAATAATAATTAAAATAGTTAATTTATCATTAATTTTAATGTCATTAAATTTTTTTATTTTATGTATGTGTTTAAAAACTATAAAAAAATATTACGCAAAATTTTATTTCTGTTCGAAAATAATATTTCACTTACCTTTTAAGTAGCGATGACTTGTCATCTGGCAAATTTAGACCTGCAGACTATTCCTTCAGAAAGTCTCGGGAGAGAGAATATGTCACTCGAATACGCACGCCACAAATGAGGTTGAAATTCTGAAAAAAAAATGTAAAGCGCTTGCGTAAATTTTGCGGAAATAATTTGCTCATAAATGTTTTATTTTACAGCAAAAACACATGCGTTATTTCTTTTGCACCTCAATTTCCTAAAAACATATAATAATTCACTGGGAAATTTGTTAAACTACATTTGTGTTCATCTCACAGTGGCATCGCATTATATTTTTCACACGATTACGGAATTTGCGCGAGAAGAAAAAATTCTAATCGATCCAAGTACCTACATATCGAATTACGAAATTTGTTAAATTGTGTATGGTTCGATCTTATAGTAATATTTTATGCCGCTATACTCAATCGTGCATTATATTCAATTAGGGAATTTGTGTAAAAAATACTGCAAGAGAAAAGTTATGGAATATTTCTAATCGGTGGCATAGAAGAAGGGTCAGAGCGCACTTGCGTATTTCAGCGTGGCCATACGTATTTTAGACCTCACCGAGAAATGATCTATATAACGGAACAATATTATGGTTTAAATAGAACTCTTCTGCTTATTATAGGATTGTGGCCTTATCAACAATCAAACCTCGTTCGACTTCAGTTTATTTTCTTCTCTGGTATTCTGATCACCGCTGCCTTGTTCCAAGTAAGACATAGTACTATTATATAGAATTTTATATTTAAATTATGTAACAAATAACTACATATTTATGATAATATTTTGCAATCATATAAGTTTTTTCGTACAATTATTATACCTATACGAAAAAATCTTTAGTAATTTACAATTTATACTTCAGAGTTATTAATTATTAAATAATAAAATTTTTAACGCAATTATTTTAATAAAGTTATTATTGATTGTAGTTTAGCATATTTATTACTTCAAGATGTACTCCCGACCTGCTCATCAAAGTTCTCTCTCTTGCATTTTTTTTAATAGTCTTTATGATAAATTATATATCGTTCAGTGTTAATATTGAGAATGTAAGTTAATAGCTCTTATGGAATTTATTCAATATACATATATACACACATATATATAAGAATTTTAAATATAAAGATTTTATTATTATAGAATGTCTGAATATAAATGTATTCAGAGGTAATCAAATTAAGTTATCATATAATCTAATCATAAGTTATTATCACAAGATTCTATACTTCAATTTTTACCTAATGGCAAATGTTTTCAATGAAAATAGAAACTGTTGACTGTACAAAGCTAAGTCGTAATGTGATGACACAATCACCAGATAAATAGTATTAAGTCACATTAAAATCATATTCCGTAATCACACAACTTTATTTTCTGAAACATCAAAGTTTGATATCCCTGTAAACAGAGTACAAAAAAATCTGCAAAAACATTACAAGTATTTTACTGAAAGCATATCAAAAGGGAAAAATCTCTTTAGATTCTTTTCCTAAAAAATTATATTCATGTAACTTAATATAGTATACCTCTGAAGTGCTCATATATATTCAGATATCTGTTATATATTTAAACCTGTATAATAACAAAATTTTTATACTTAAAATTTTTTAAATATAAAAATAAGAAATTTTTGAATTCATGTAGATGAAAGATTTGTTAACGCAACTTCAATATATATGTAATGAATTGGAAGATGAAAATGAACATGCTATCATAAGAAAGTATAGTTATATTGCAAAATGTTACACAGTTGGATTCACAAGTAAGATATTTTTACATTTGTGCATACATTTCACACTTCCTATTTTACACAAAAGCTATTAAAACTTATGATAGATTGAATCTGAAGCAGTTTACTATATATTCGTACATATAATACACATACACACATTTACAGTATGCTTAAAAACGAAATTTAACGGGATTAATATTTTTAATTTTTTGTATATGTAAAATTTTATGTTTTTATTTAAAGCAATTGATTATAGTAATATGCTTCAAAAAAGCAAATTTTAGATAAAAAGAAATACTATTACTAGAATCTGATATACCAATATATATGCTTAATGTAATATTTTTTATAATTAATTGCATGAAATACAAGTTTAATACAATGTTTGTTTATTTATGTATTTTTTTTATAGTAGAAAATTAATACATATTGTTCTTTAAAAAGAACTGTCACAGAATTTATTATTATTTTTTTTTTTAGTCACAGAAAATGTGAAATTGTTTTGTGAAACTGTGAGGTCCAGTCAGCTAAAAATTACGACGTACATATATGAATATTACATAATGGAATAGGAGAGATTATAGATAAAATTTAAAAAAAATATACTATTTTTTTCCCACTTTGATCACTATATACCTATATATTGTATTATATAACGTAAATCAATTTCAAAATATTATAAAGTAAAAATTTAAATATATTCTTTCTAATTTTTTTAGTGATTTGTGTTTCCTGCATCATTTTCCATTTAATTGTTCAAAATTGGCGGAACATCGTTTGTATTGTCTTACCGTTCAACGAATCTCGATACCATTATATTATGACGGAATATTTTAGCAATCAAAAACGATATTATTTTTTAATGCTGCATACGTACGCAGCACTTTCTATAGGAGCGATGGCAATGTTAGCAACAGGAGCAATGCTTAATACGTTTCTTCAACATATCTGTGGAATGTTTACAATTTCTTGGTACATATTGAATATAAAGACAGCAACAAAGATTCTAATAATTCAATAAATATAGGTATTATTTACAGTTATCGTATTGAACGCGCAGTAAAATTTAATGTGCTCAAAAATAACCTGAATAAAGAGAGTGTAATGTCTAAGGGCCTAATTTATGCTATAGATATTCATCGGCAAGCTATGAAGTTAGTATTTATCTTTATTATGTATACATATAATATGTGTCGTAATATATTCTTATTTTTAAAGATTATCCACAAATTTAATGTCTGGGTTTGATCCATGGTTCTTTGGTTTAATATTATTTGGAGTGGCTTCCTTAAGTCTTAATTTGCTTCGAGTAAGTTTCCGATTTTTAGGTCTATTTTTAAACAAGTATTTTATTTTTATTAATATATATATATATATATATATATATATATATATATATATATATTTGTACAAACAACTTTAAAAGTGCATTTTAAAATGCATTTTATATATAACACTGGCATTAATTTACCTATGCTCGCCATATCTACCTAAAAATATTTCAAATCAGTATATAGTTTTAGAAGAGCCCCCTTACAGTTTTATATAATTTTGAAAGAAAGTTTATATTATTATATTTTTTAATTAATATTATAGGATTATAAAATATGCAGATATGTGATTATTTCCATAAACTCTTTTTTTAGATTTCTTAGATTGTATCATTCGAAAACGACATCGCGTAGTTTCATTACTTCTTACATTTGTATTAATCAGTATCTTGTACATGTTCTTAGCTAATAACATTGGACAAGATATTATAAATTACAATCATCGTGTATTTTTTACTATGTAAGAGATTAATAAAGAACAGCATTACGAAGATACGTTAACAGATTCTTAGAGTGTCAAGTAAAGGTTAATGCTTCATGTTTAAAATAGACATAGAATGTTTGCTAAACGTTATTTAAAAAATTTTTTGTTTTTTTAAGTTACTGATTCTTTATCTACACAATTACCAGATATAATGTTTCGTGGTACTTAGTTCCTTTGCATATACAGAAAATGATACTGTTTCGATTTCTGTTACAATAAGCAGTCAAAGATTTTTCTTTGATTGTCGGCGGACTTGTCGGTCCGCATCTTTAGAATGTTTTGCTACGGTAAAAAAATATATTATGTATTAAATTGTATTTAAAGGTGTATATAAACACAATAACAATTGATATTTTTCTCTTTGCAGTTGGTAAAAGCTTTAGTATCTTACTTTACTGTCATATATTCTATGCCGTGATAAGAAAAAGATCAAATAAAACGCAATTTAAATTAAAAATTCTAGACACATATAACCATATTTTATTTGTAGAGTAAAAAGCCCAATTTTTGGAACATGTATTTTGTTCTAAAAAAAATCGTAGCAACGGAATTATTTGATCAAAGAAATGAATGCTTCAAATATCTATAACGCATCAAACTAATTATTTTTTCAAGTATTTGTATGTAGAAATAAAATATAGATTTAATTACTATAACATTGCGATATTTGTAATACACATTATCTTCGAATAATTAATTTATTTTTAATGTTGATATTATTGAATACAGCTATTCAAATATCTTATTTTTAATAATATATATGCTATTTCGAAATTCCGCATATCGGCAAAATTATTCGATAAGTATAATGAAAATATGAGCAACAAATCGACGATGATGATACAAGCTTCTAACATATTGTGTTTGTAAAAAATGCATTTTATTTATAACACTGGAATTATTTTTTCAATGCTCATCATATGTACTAAACATGTTTCTAATTCATGCAGTTCTTAACGCAGTTCTCGCAATTTTACTAAAAAATAGCTTTTTATAAGTATTTCTGTTCAAAAAAGTACATGTATAACACTGGCGTTATTTTATCGACACTCGCTATATCAAAACATATTGTTAATTTATTAATAGTAATTTTTTATACAATTCTTACATTTATGCTAAAAAAAAGATTTTTATGAATACTTCTGTAATGTAATTAGTATTTTTGTTGTATTTGTATTATTATTATTGTATTGTGTATTATTATTATTATTTTCCTTTTTAATTTATGTTATATAACTATACAGACCTGTAATATCTTCATAAAACTCGTTTTTTTTTAGATTTTTCTGATTGTGTCATCGGAAAATGATTTCACGACAATTTCATTACCTTTTATATTTGTGACAATCAGTACCTTGTACATGTTTTTATCTAATAGTATAGGACAAGACATTATGGATCACAATTATCATGTATTCCTTACTGTGTAAGAAATCTTACATAATACAGTATTATGAACATTTGTAAAAATTTTATAATAAAAGTAAAAATTAACATTTGTTGTGTGAAAGACAGCA